GGAAGGAAAATAGAATTTAAAAAAAAAGGAAAGTTTAAAAAGGAAAACAGAAGACTATAGGGAAAAAAAAAAAATGAAGGGGAAAATAAAAGCTTATGTGGAAAAAGAAGGAAATAACCAAAAAGAGAATGAAATGGTGGTGGATAAAGAAAATAAACAAATATTAAACTTTTTTTTTAACAATGAGACTGAGGGAAAATGAAGACTAAAAAGCTAAAGACTTGTTAAGATATACCTTAGAGAGAGCTTGGAGGTTTCTCTTACAGAGTTGAATCCCACATGAAAACACATCAAGTAGAGGAGCATAGAGACAGCACACTGGAGCTGTGTGAAAGAAAAAAAGTGAAAAGGTGAGGTTATCTAAAACATCTGAAAGCCAGGGGCAGGGAGAGGAAGCTCTGGATTGTGACAGAGTGACAAATGGAAGCAGCTAAAAGGAGCCTGCAGGACTGTTTAGGATGGATCAAATGGGAACGTACTCAAAGATGCCACCAGTAGGTCAGCCCTTTCTTCTAATGACCAGTAAGTACTGCGAGAAGCTCACAGCAGGACGCTCAAGGGGCTGGGCTCATCCATAGCACAAAGAAATTTTGTGGAGCTATAGACTCAACTGGTGAAAGAAGAGAAATGACCATCAGAGAGTATGAATTTTACTTGAACAAAGAGCAAGAAAAATGAAGCAAAGTATATGAAAGGCAGGCAGAGGGGGCAATTTTTCATTACATGAAAAAGTCTTCCTAGTTAGGTTTTTTTAATATAAATGGTAGTCACAAAAAATTGAGAGGTTTAATGATCTCTCCTGTTTGAGTCACCTCAGAACAAGTCCAACGTATCTCTAGCTGAGAGGGCCTATGAGGTTTTAATTTCAATCAGTCTTTCATTGAAGGTGAGATGTGTGCTAGTTAGCAGATGACATCCCCTTTTAAGCTCACAAAACCATAACAAAAATAAGTAAGAGTCAAGTTTTAAAACTACCCAGTGCTCAGAATTTCTTTAAAAGAAAATAACATCTTCTCAATAAACTCAAAATACCTACAGTCTCTGATATTTTAAGTCTGCTGGACTTTCTCATAGAACATAAATAAGCTTACCAATGAAGGTCTTCTCTTCAAAGAAAAAGGAAGTAAAAATAGGTATAGATTCAAAGTCAACCACATAATACCTTGCAGAAGATGCTATCTTTGTATTTCTAAGGCCAAGCTTGATAAAATCTTGTATTTACACGGCATGTTGTACCAGTATGTCCCAAAGCATTGTGTAAAGGATGCCAGTATCATTAGTTCAATTAACTAGAGGAAGCGAATAATTTGTTGAAGTGATTAATTTATATCCCTCAGCAACGCAGCTTATGAGTGAGGAACAAGATCCTTCTCTTCAGAGTCCAGAACTATGCCTTAACCACTCTGCTCTGTATCCAAATGTACACAGGGATGGAGCAGTGACATCCTTCTTGTGTTGTTTGTTGGGTTGTTTTGTTTTGGTTTTATTTACACAGAAAATTTCTGCTATAAATCCTTCAACTATCAAAGCTTCAAATTTCCGAACGCACAGGAAAACTCGCTTCATTATACACGGTCATCTTGCTGGAGCAGACCTCCCCTGGATAACAAACATATGTAGGGTATGGTATGGCTATTGTCTGACAGTCATTTTACTTGTATTTGAAGGTGTAAATATCTACAGCACCCCATTAACTGGCTTAAAATTCCCACATAAAATTTACACCTTTGCTCTCTTGTTAATTCTTGTGAGGGAGGAAAAAAAACTCAGAATGAAGCTCATTTCCACGTGACTGCCCTCTTGTTCCTACCTATGAGTATAGTGCACTTCAGCCTTCTGCTAAATGCGCTTTTGCTGCATTAACTTCCACAGGGAAAGCTATAATTAAGTCATTTTTCAATTCCTTGCCAATAATAAAGGGGGGAAAAAACCCCCCACTTTTCTCACCTCAGCAAAAAGTCAAAATAAACATTTCGGTTTGAGTGAGGCATTTGATCTAATAAAAATAAAATGCTTTGTTCAGCTGACTGGTTTAATTTTATTTAGGCACATTTCAAAAAGGAAATTGTTTTAGAATGAAAAATAAGAATATTCCATTGCCAGAAGTGTATAAATACAAAATTTTAGTTAAAATATATGAACTTTGGGGCTGAACAATTCTAGCACATGAACACAAATTTGTGAATCCTTTTAGATGATCCAAGCATATAAATTTTGAAAAATTAAGCTTGAACAATAAAAAAGATGCTATACTATCCTCTTTTTCTAACCAGGGCGCTGTCATTAAAAGAAGTTGATACCCTAAAGTTAGCCAAATTATCTAGAATGGAAAACACAATTGAAACAAGAGTCTGTGTGTCTTCTTACAGTGTTCAAATCACTGCCTCCACTCTGCCTCCTTGTGTTGATTCTTCAGTATTAGTAGGAATTAATATACTATAAATGTGTCTTTCCCAGTCACGTAAACAAAGTGAGTCCTTGGCTAGAGCAAAACAAAATATCATTTGCATATACCCTGCTACAATAGTAATTCATACCTTTTTGCTTTTGTTCTCCTGTTTTCATGTTTTCCACCAGCTCATGTTTCACACTGAAGATGTGAATTGCATTTTGACTGACTGGAGAGGCGGCTCTAGTGGTTTGTACACTGACGCAGTTAACAACGTCCGCATTGTGGGGGCTGAGCTGGTATATCTGATGAACCTCCTTGAGGTAAAAGTATCCATGGAATGTGAAAGCCGGCATATAGTCTGTATGGGAAATGCTGTGTTTAGGGTGGCACATTTCCATTTGATGCAATGGAGTCAGGAAGTCCAGAGGTACTCAATAACACAGCTGAAAATGTCATTAAAAGTCTCTAACCCTGCACAAACAGAAATATCTACTTTAGTGTCAGACCACAGATAGGCATGTCCCTGAAGGTTTACAGGCCATAGTTTCTGAAAGTTTTGTTCATGAAGGGCTTTTTACTGGCTAAGATCTCAGACTGGAGACAGTCTAGCAAAACTACAGTTATGTGCAGAAATTCCCTTTTCCTTCTTTTCTGTCATAAGGGCCAGCTCCTGACAGAGATTACTCCCTTCCAGAAGCATGATATAAGTGGGGATGGGATGAGTCGGGAACTACTTCTCTTTATGTACAGATCCCACCACCTGCAATAGTAATTTCCCACCACCCAAGACTCTCCCCTTGGTGTCCTGGCACAGCATGGGGCCATTATGCAGTGTCCCAGGCTTGTATCCCCCGCTTCACATGCTTGGTTTTTTCCCTTCCATACATCTTCACAGAAAGATTACGGCTACTCTCCTGACAACATTCACTTAATCGGCCACAGTCTTGGAGCACATGCTGCAGGGGAAGCAGGAAGAAGGAAACCTGGCATTGGAAGAATAACAGGTACTGAAGCTATTTCAGGTGAAGAAGTTTTATATTTTCATGCAACTTAAGAGAACTGAAGAATCACTGCTGCCTTATAAACACACACTTCAGACTGTAATATGGTAGCTTGTCATAATTAACAGTATATAGCTAGTATGACTGCACACAAACAAAGCCATGCCCCATCATAGGCCATGCATTTCACATGTCAATGTTCACAGCTCTGAGAAAGGCTTCATTGCAAAAGATTAGAAAGGCTTAACTGTCTCAGATGTGGCTAAACAGAGGTTACTTTTCACAGATCAAGTTCCAGGGAGCACTTGGTTATGATTTTTAATGATGTAAAAGAACAGGAACAAAATACTGTATTACATATGGAATAACAGACTTGTAGTACGCTAGCAACTCATTGTCATATTTGGTTTTAAAAGCTCACACTAATATGAGTAATATAACTGCTTTTGAACTCTTCAGCAGTTCAAAAGATTGAAAATCTGAAATGAAAAATTAAAAACCCCTATATCTAATATGTCAGGATGAGACAGTAAATAGCCATGGACGCTCTGAAAAGGAAGAAAGCTGCTAGTCACTTAGCTACACAGAGACACAGTATCATGACATACTCATATATCACTTTTTCTAAAGGCTCGCTATTTTCTGCTTTCCTTTTCCCTCCAGTCCGTTCTTTTCTCTGCATAGACGTTGCTCTGCCTAAGCCCTGTATACAATACACAGTCACATAAGCAATTTGGGGAAACTGGGATCAGAACTGTGTTGCTTTAGCCCTGAATAGAGCTCACTGACATTGAAAAAAAAGGGGAAATAATTCCAACCAAGATCTTTTGGAAATAAAAATAGACTTTGGACCAAATAAAAATTTTCAGACAAGCCTACATGCTCAGAGTAACATATCAAGATTCCATATATTTCATTAACATGCAAAAAACCCACAACCCAAACCTCTTCTTATAACATTGTTCCCCAAAAGTAAGCCAAGGACCCATCAGCATTTTACTGTGCTGTAATGCCTCCAGCCAACTTTCTATTAAAACCTTGCTTGTTTTGCTGGCTGTGGACGACAAAATGGATTTTAATCTGTGGAGGACAGGCACAAAAATAATGACATACAGTATACACACTGCATGTGATGACATATATGCAGTAATTTTTACTCAATCAGATGTATCTCCATTTATTTAGGTTTGGATCCAGCTGGACCCCTTTTCCAGTATACTCCCACAATGGTTAGGCTGGATCCTTCAGATGCAAAATTTGTTGATGTAATTCATACTCATGCCGGTCATCTTTTCTTCGACTTTGGTAAGTTTTCACACAAAGGTTGACACCAACATAGAGGTTGGCCACAGCATACCTGAGAGTGATCAGCCTCGATTCATTGTGCATTTCAGCTCCAGGGATTCTTCAGACTTGTGGCCACCTGGATTTTTACCCAAATGGTGGCAAGAAGATGCCAGGATGCAAGCAGCTTCGTGTACCTCCTGCAACTCGGGATATCAATGACCTTATGAAAGGTAAACATATTTTAAAAGAAGTAACACCTCTTTATAAGCTACAGTTAGAAAAAAAGGCTAGGCTAAGGTAAAGCCTTTTGAATGTATATATTATTTATACAGCTCAGATCTGGAGGAGGGAGAAAATGCTCAAAAATGGAAGATTTAAAGCTGCCTGTGAAGTACCCTCCAATTTTATTTTATTTTATTTTATACTAACCAAGGCAAATTTCAGAAAGAAACTTCAGTTAAAGCATGCAAGCTTGTTCATCACAACCTTTAGAAGAGCTTGCTACTGTGTTGACAGACTGACCTCAGTGGGAATTCCCTACATGGAGGACCAGTAAAATTTCACTCAAGGATAATCCAAAAGTGGATATTTTAAAATCTGAGCTTCCCTTCTCCCTAGAAAGACATCGGTCCCAATACTATTGGGTTAGACATGCTCATCCAAGCCATTAACAGCTTTAGTGTCTTCAAAGGGAACAGCACAAGGTTAAAAATATAGAAGATGATCAAATGAGTGCTCCATTGATAATTCATGTTCTTCAAAGAAAGCTGGGAAGTTAACCAGAATTACCCTGGGATCTACTACTATAGATCCCCAAAATCCTGTCTTCTGATCCTAACCTACAGAAATGAGAACATCTGTTATTCACAGCTAAATGGTTTGAAATCCCTACCTATAGTCAAGTCTTAGAACTGGTTGGAGAACTTAGTAACAAAGACAACTGCAAGCTGGCTGTGCACAAAGTCACCTGGAACCAAAACTCTTTCCAATCAGACTGCATAAGAACGTCTGCATTTTCAGAAAACAACAAATAAAAAAAAAAAAAATCACAGACATTTCACAAGCTATTTGCAGAGTTTTGTGGTGAAGAAATTCAGCTCTACTGAACACGAGCAGATGGAGTTGTTTATTCATGCAGCTCCTAAAAATAGAGACAGCCTTAACTCCTGCCTCTTGGTTAAACCTTACTTTGTGCATCTGTCTTCCGTTTGATAATATTTATACTTATGTAGCGCTTTCATGTATGAAGTGCTTTAGAAATGCTATTTAGTAACTTCTTTCTACAGCTTTTGATGCAGCAGGGAGAGGGGTATTATGTTCCCATTGTATAGATGTTAATTTGGCACCAGCACAAAGTAAGCCAACTGTAAGAGCTGAGGGTTTGAAAGTTAAAAGCACAGGCCCTTCTGAGCTAGATTTAAAGAAGGAACTATAAAGAAAACATACTCAGGAAGCCTTGATGATGCAGATTATTTTCAAGAAAAACAGACAAAAATAATTTTCAGAGGGTTTTTGGTATGTTTTTTTTTTTTTTCTTTCCTCATGTAAAAAACAATGTGTCAACTGGTCTGTCTTTAAGATGCATAAATATTGACAGTAGGTGAAATTCTGATTTCACTATAAACTGTGCCAGCTTGCAATTACCTCAGTGCCTCCAAGACTTCACCCTGTTATAGCTGAGCCCCCACCTCAGCCTATTTTTAGCAGAGTAGAGCCTATTTTTATACAACCTAACTTTAGTATATTTTGCTTTGATAAATAAGAGACTTCAGAGCCAATTAAGACAATACTTGTTACAAGAGACCTCTAAATATAACCCAAATAGCACTTTCTTCTTTCCTGCACTGACTGCTTATAAATTTCACTCTGATGGAAAAATGAACTTGTTTCAAATAATCCTGACAAAATCAAGGACACACTGTCAAACATCTTGCTTTTCAGAGCATTTCACAGAATCACCATTGTCAAATGACCACAGATTTTCTAGAGCTTAAAAGCAATGAAAGCCATTGAAGTTAAGATAATTACTACAATTATCTTTAATTCTAGAAATGAGTGGAAACTGTGGTTTTACAAAATACCATGTTGTGATAATGGTAAGCAAATTAAAACTACTTCATAGTAACTACTACATGCTTTACGGATGCTGTAGCTGTGAATTACTCCAGTCTCTAAAATATCAAAGGCAAATTCTCCTAAATCCTCCTTGGTTCTCATGCTAAAGTAAAAACAGTTAAACACACATAGCAGGACAGGAGGCTGCACAAGGTCTGCTTTGGTGTATCTCCACCTCTTTAGCATGAGCACAGGGACACACAGATTAGAATTTAGCTCTTTCCTATCAAAAAAGTATGAGTAGCCATAATTCCACTTTTTTTTTTTTTTTATAAAACCAAATTGTCCTAGTTTTGCTACAGCAGAGTTAATTTTCTTAGTAGCTAGAAGGGTTGTGTTTTAGTTTCAGTTTAGGATTCACACTTTAAATACCTTTTAATTATTACTTTAAAAAAAAAAAAAAAATCTGAGGTGTCACTATATGTACAAATACTTTCTAGGAGAAAATACCCACAAGTGTTGCTTCAACATGTTAATGTATAGCTTTAATCTTTTCTACCTGGGATTTTCCCCAGAATATAGATCTATTGGATGCGGACATAAAAGAAGCCTCCGGTATTATGCTGAGAGTATTATCACTCCAAACGGATTTGTTGGGTATCAATGTGAATCATACCGAGCTTTTGTATTGGTAAGTACCAGGTACATATGTACCTGAGGGGTTACAGTCCTGCCCTTCTTCTGTTAATGATTTCTGGAATTTCTTCACCCTGGATCATGGGATAACTACTCTCATACCCAGAAAACAGGCAAAATGTAAAAGCAGCAAACCCCCCAAAAAAAGATCTAGAAGAAAATAAGGCGGTAAATATAAACTTCAAAACCAGTTACAGGGGTAGATATGAAGAGCTGACTAAGAGGGCAATGAGATGTAGTGGCTGAGTTCACCTTTTGTGTAGGTCAACAGTAAGGGACAGTCAGCCTGGTTGAAGGAAGTCCATCTAAACCTGGTGGAACCCATCACCAAGAGGACAGCCTCTGGATTTCAGAAATGCTTAAACATCTGTATAAACAATAAACATACACAGTATACAGGGCATGGGAGATATCTATAAAGCATAGCCTTGCTCACACAACCTTCAGGTGGCACAAGATGGAAAGCAGGATAATGTCCTGGTGATTCATGTCTGATAAAACTGGGCTTTTAGCGGCCCAGTTCTGGAAATGCAACTGAGGACTTGTCAAGAAGGAAGACAAGTCTGAATTTATTTCCATCTAGTCCCAAAAGGAATTGTGCAATACTGCAGAAAAGTTGTCAGTGTTTGTAGCAACGTCAACACGTATCTTAAGAGTTTGATGTAATTCAGGACTTGAAAACTTGAACCCTGTGCAATTTAGTGATGTGAGGGAAATGGTTTTGTCAATCTCAGATTCATCTATCTGGACTTTAGTGAAGCCTTTGACACTGTTTCCCACAGCATTCTCCTGGAGAAACTGGCTGCTCCCGGCTTGGATGGCCATGCCCAAAGAGTGGTGGTGAATGAAGTTAAAACTAGTTGGTAGCCAGTCACACGTGGTGTTCCCCAGAGCTCAGTACTGGGGCCAGCTCTGTTTAACATCTTTATCAGTGATCCAGGGGATCAAGTGCACCCTCAGTTAGTTTGAAGATGACATCAAGCTGGGTGGAAGTGTGGATCTGCTTGAGGATAGGAAGGCTCTGCAGAGGGATCTAGACAGGCTGGATCCATGGGCCAGGGCCAACTGCATGAGTTTCAGTAAGGCCAGATGCACTTTGTCAACAACAAACCCCAGCAGCATTACAGGCTTGGGGAGGAGTGGCTGGAGAACTGCTCAGCAGAGAGGGACCTGGGGATGTTGATCGATAGCTGGCTGAACATGAGCCAGCAGAGTGCCCAGGTAGCCAAGAAGACGAAAGGCATCCTGGCCTGTATCGGGAACAGTGTGACCAGTAGAACCAGGGAAGTGATTGTGCCCCTGTACTTGGAACTGATGAGGCCGCACCTTCAGTGCTGGGTTCGATTCTGGGCCCCTCACTACAAGAAAGACATGGAGGTGCTGGAGCATGTCCAGAGAAGAGCAATGGAGCTAGGGAAGGGTCTAGAGCACTTGTCTTATGAGGAACAGCTGAGAGAACTGGAGATATTTAGCCTGCAGAAAAGGAGGCTGAGGGGAGACCTCCTCACCCTCTACAACTCCCTGAAAGGAGGGTGTAGAGAGGTGGGGGTTGGTCTGTTTGACCAAGGAACAAGTGACAGGACAAGAGGAAATGGCCTCAAGTTGTGCCCAGGGCAGTTGAGATGGGATGTGAGGAAGAATTTCTTTGCTGAAAGGGTTCTCAGGCATTGGAAGGGGTTGCCCAGGACAGTGGTGGAGTCCCCAACCCTGGAGGTATTTAAAAGATGTGTAGACATAGTGCTGAGGGATATGGGTTAGTAGAGGACTTGTCAGTGTGAGGTTAATGATTTGGCTCGATCTTAAAGGTCTTTTCCAATCTAGGCCATTCTGTGGGATCTTCTCACACACAGTCCAGGCTCCTCTGCATGGGCACATGTGAGGCCAGATTTTCAACCTGTTTCTCTCTAATTTTCAGTCAGATGAAATAAGCCGACTGACCATCTCAGCTCCTTTTTTCACCACAACAATAAATACTGAAGATCTGATCTGAAAAAAAGCTGGGGAGAAGCTGAAATACCCTTATTTCTTTAAGAAGTGGGATTAAAACAGATAACGTCTTGTAACAGACATTGTTATTTCCCCCCAGGGAGACTGCTTCCCATGTCCAATGGAAGGATGCCCACTGATGGGTCATTATGCTGATAAATTTTCACATAAAAATGAAAAAGAAGAGCAAAAGGTTTATTTAAACACAGGGCCCTCCCCTCCATATGCTCGTAAGTGCTTCTTTTGGTTGATGAATTCTAAACTGACAACGAATTATGTGTAAACAAATATCTTGCACTTCTACAGAGAGTCACTGGAGTTAATGGGTGCCACTTAGTATAAAATCTGGAGTTTTTGGTGTGTAATGAACATGCAATACCAGCATTATCTGAGAAAAGCTGAGATAATTCTAGAAACAGATCAACTGATACTGACTTGCTGATTAAATTTTGTTAATTAGATGATGGTTTCAAAAATTCTATAAAGCTGAAAGTGGGAAAGTGCAAAATTTCAAATATAAAAAGTTACATTGTTTTTATTGACAAAAATTATAAAACTGAATCATTTCAGGATAGTTTGGCAGAGTTCATCAAGTTAAAATAGCAGAGAGTAATAAGAAGAATAGTTTTAATTGTGATTAATGTAGAAGCAGCCACAGAACTGGGAAATAAGATTTGTAAATAAATTGTAATCCAATATAGGTGATGAAATGCAAGGGCAATAAATGAGACACGGTCTTTGAGGTCCTTATTCACCAGGCACTAAAATATGAAAGCAAAATTAAGAACAACAACAACAACAAAAATCTTATATCACCTCTCCATGAGAGCAAAAATTAAAAAAATGAATTTGAGTATAAAGAAACCAGCCATTTCTCAAATCTGAATGAATACATTAATTTCAACATTTACAAACTGTTGAGCTTATAGAAACTATAGCCTGAAACCAAATCTAACCTTAAGACCTTAGGACTACAAAGATGATAAAGGGGCTGGAGCATCTTTCTTATGAGGAAAGACTAAGAAAGCTGGGTCTGTTAGACCTGGAGAAGAGAAGACTGAGAGGAGACCTTATTAATGTTTATAAATATCTAAAGGGTGGGTGTCAAGAGGATGAGGCCAGACTCTTTTCAGCGGTGGCCAGCAATAAGACAAGGGGCAACAGGCACAAGCTGGAACAGAAGAGATTCTGCTTAAACACGAGGAAAAACTTATTTCCTGTGAGGGTTCCAGAGCCCTGGGACAGGCTGCCCAGAGAGGGTGTGGAGTCTCCATCTCTGGAGATGTTCAAAACCCGCCTGGACACTTTCCTGTGCAACCTGCTCTAGGTGAACCTGCTTTGGCAGGGGAGTTGGACTGGATGATCTCCTGAGGTCCCTTCCAACCCCCACCATTCTGTGATTCTGTGAAGTGTGTGAAGAGATTCTCCTTTTAACAGCCCAAATTAAAGCCAGTCAAAAACCTTCCCAAACCTGGTTGCTTGATATCAATGTGTGCTATTGCATCCAAGGCCCTGCTTCTGCCTTAAAAAGACATGTGAGATGACAGGATCTCCTGACAGCTGGTGGGCTGTGCACAGGTATAAGAAAAACCTTCAACACCATATATTGGGATCACCCTGGGAAAGCAGCCAATTTTGTTTAATATATCTTAGGAAAATATCTAATATATATTTATATATTAATATAATATAT